ATATGAGTTTGTATGTAATGTATGAATATAATATACAAGTTTCACTTTTTAAATGGAATTACTGAAATAAATCTACTTTTTCATGATATTCTAATTTTATGACCAGCACCTGTATATTGTCACACAGACATCACCATGTTAATTATGCCATAAAGCATTCTGGGTAAATGATGATGACAGGTGCTTCGGTCTGAAGCCGCGGACTCTATTCAGAGTAAACCTTAATAATATCTGACATTCAGCCCAGAGTGAGTTGACAGAGAGGAGATTGTTGAAATGATTCTGAAACTGAAGATGATGACCGAAGGTTGAGGGAAACAAGAGGCTCAATTTAAACAGTTTATCTGAAAAAAAAAAAAGTTGATTTGGAGTTCAGTTACTTGCAGGGGTCACCAAAGGGGAAATAAACACGCTGTGGACAAACGCAGGGTGCTGTTCCGGTTTCCATACTTTGATAAGATAATTGATAATTCTTAAATCTTAAAACTAATCCTCCTTTTCTTTACTGTTCTTAATCTTAACCTTGCCGTAAGTTTAATGTGCCTGTAAACACCTGGTTTGTCAAGACCTAAGCCTAAAGTTTACCGTCAAACGTTCTTTCTGAGCTGTCATATTTACATAACTAGTACGGACACGTACCAGATATTGTGGATGTTTTAACTCATAAAGTCCTGATTATTAACATTAATTTGCACATAAGTAGTTAATTTTATTCTGTAAATAAATATCATTTATTTTAAAAAACTTGAGCTACTGAATTTGAAAATTGTGTGTGTATTTCTCACTCTTACCACAGAGAGGTATTTCATCTTTCTAGAAAAAGAACCCGTGATTCCTCGTTGCTTTTAAGTTGTGAGAAGTGTAAGAGACCCCAACAGTCTCCTATTTACTCTTTAAAGGCCCTGCCACACTAGACAACTCACGCCAACTTATGAACATTTTAAAGACGTCTRCGTTGAAGATGGAATTGAAAAAATCAACAATAAGCTTCTTTTTGGCGTGTAAATAATGTAATTCAAACAAATTGATCAAATATATAACTTTTATTAGCAATTTAGACATAAAAATAGTTTCATAAGTTGGCATAAGTTGTCTAGTGCAGTGTTTCCCAAAGTTGGGGTCGGGACCCAAAGTAGGGTCCCAAAAAATCAAGGTGGGGACATAAAAATAGTTTCATAAGTTGGCATAAGTTGTCTAGTGCAGTGTTTCCCAAAGTTGGGGTCGGGACCCAAAGTGGGGTCCCGAAACTCAAGGTGGGGTCCTGAAAAGATTTTCTGAATTAATTACATTTTTGCCTTAGTTGTTACGAAGGAGTAAAGTTAGTATATTTAAAATGGATAAATGTAGTATAAAAATATTGTTACTATGCCCATGTTTAGTTGACCTGATACAAATGTTTATCATCCAAAAACAGTTGTGGGCACAGGTCTCTGCTGCTGTTATTTTGTGGGTCAAAAGCTGAAAAGTTTGGGAACCACTGCACTTTGGTTCCCAAAGTTGGGCTTGGGACCCAATTATGGGTCATGAAGCACCTTGGATAATCTCCAGAAATCAATTTAAAGGGTAAAAAAAAAATTGCTGATGTAATATTTTCCCTGTAATTATTACAAAAACACAAAATAAGTAAAGATAAGTATTTATATTTGTGTACAAACTGTTTAGATTGTCAAAAAGCCTGTGTTTTTAGGGTTATTAATGAAGTTTGTGTACTCAGACCAGTAATATTTGGGGTCACGGGTTTTTGCCATGGATATTTTGTGGGTCAGAAGACAAAATGTTTGGGAACCTCTGGTCTAGTGTGACAAGGCCTTAAGGAATACTAGGTCTTTATTTTTTCTCATGTTTTTATTCTACATTTTTTTTAAATTCTCAGTTTCAAGTGGGATTCCACTTGTAGTGAAGCACAATGTTTACAGCAGAAGATTATTTAAATAGAAGTGCAAACTTAAAAAAAATGTTTAAAGTGAGGTCTGGTAACTTGTTACGTATCACCTCAGCTTTTCAAGCTCATTCCCATCTGTTTTGTTAACTATGAGCTGAGAGGAAACAGGAGGGAACTGTGATTTCAGCAAACCACTGCAACAAAGGAGAAGTGCACATAAAAAAATCACATCCGTTGTTAGTAATTAGCGAATGACATWCCCAGAATTCAGTTGTTTCCTATCTGATACCCAGCCTCTTGTGTGTGTTTTATCTCCTTTTCAATGCTGTAACTCATGTAAAAATTAAAAGAAAAACTCAGGACGTAATCCCACTTTTGTTTTATAGATGCGGTTCTGCTTTATTTCTTTCTCACTTCAGTTTTCTCTCCCTCTTTTTGCCTTAGACACACACACAAACACACACTCATTCATTTCCTGTATCCTTGTTGCTGGGGAAACACTCGGCTATTCAAAGACTTACACATACACACACACACACGCACACAACATACAAACGTCCTGTTGCACACCCTTCTCTCCCTCTGCTTAGCTGAGTTCTGCACGTCTTGTATGTCGTAACGTTGACGCCTGTATCAGCATGTTGATGCCACAACACATCAGAACTGTGTGACGCCTTCTATTCTGGGGATTTTGTTTCCTGTGAGCTGCACTTCAAATCACTGCGCCACGTGAATTTCATGCTACAAACCTTCTCAGACTTTACGATGATGAATCGAGCCTCAAAATAGGAACCAAAACGTTGACGCTTCTATAAGATTGTCTTTAGAGTGGCCTAACTGAAGCCTGAAGCTGAGAGTTCAAAACTGTTTCATTTACCACAAAGTTCTGTAATTCATAGTATGAATTAATGTGTTTTTATTCACCCTTTAAATGCATTTAACTATCTGTTGATTTTCTTTTAAGTAGGCTTCTTTGGAGTAGCTTTGTGTCATCAGTATCTTACTTGCAGCAGACAGCAGTCAAAGTGATTTCCTTTGGGGTGAGTTGAGGAGGAAAAAATAATGGAGGAGTCAATCTCACTGCAACTCAGAGCAATCAGCCATATGTTGAAGTACTGGACCTTTATATCTGCATAATATATCGTTTTAGCGTTTTCATTGTAGTGTTCACGTGTGCAATAGTCCAGGGTTTGACAAATCCTATTGCCCGACTGCCCGGGGCAGGTAAAACTCATAGTTGGGCAGGTGGGTGTGTCCCGATGTCTGCCCGACCGGTCAGGTAAACAATTTCTTTAATTTTTTTATAGGGCCATTTATTCGAAATATTCTGAAAATAAATGAAGAAACATAGCGTTTTAAAACTCGTATAGAGAGAATAAATCCTCAAAGTTTCCCCCTCCCGCTGTAGAAAAGTTACGTCTTGTCGTTGTGTCGTGGGATCATTTCCTCCTCCTCCCTCCCACTGCATGTTGTGCAGAGCGAAGCTTTATCAACCGTAGTTTTTTCACACCCAAGTTGTTGCAGGAAAAACTTGTTTTTTTATCTATTGTTACCCACAGAGATGATGAAAAGATGTGGACGTTCTTTCAGTCATAAATCATCTTGCTAGTGTCGGCTTGTGCTCTGAGAGCGCAGAGCAGCAGTGGGTCAGTTCAACAGGCTTACAGTATGGCAGGCCGATGTTGCATTTATTTGGCTTCACCACGCTTACATTCCAGATGTCTGAAATTGTTTTATGACTACGTAGATTAGACAAATTAGTTATTTAGGATAAAGTAATAAAAATGTTTTTTTTATTATTCTGTTTTGTTTCATTTACTTTTTATTTAATTTGGAGATGTTTCCTTCTTGAGCTTGTTTGTTTGTTGAAGATGATTTTTGAAAATAAGGGGCACATATGAGAGTTTTTTCTTAATGCTGCACCCTTTTAATTCAGGGTAGGATTTACTTTTATGGTGTACATAGATTGTTTTGTTTTTATAAAAGAAAGAAACAAACAAAGACATCTGAATATATTTTGACAATTCAAAATACCTGTTACATTCTGACTAGTATAAATAACGTCAGATTTATCATTAAGTTGTAGGGAGACTCCAGTTCAAAATATCTTAAATGTATCTTTAGATATGAGAGAGGCTATATAAGATACAAAAAATGCAAATTGCAGACTTTCATGTTCTGTAAATTAATTATATTTAAAACAAAGCTTCTGCTGTTGATCATTCTGTTTTTATAAGCAGCCCTCTCAAGGCCAGTACTSYAGGGGAAACACTGGAAAGGTCTAAAAAAGGGTTTTGAAGATGTTTTTGATAAAACAATTGACTGTTAGTGACTCAGTCTGCAATGTTTGCATCTGCTAAATCAGATGTCATATATTATGTACCTCTGTATAACTATGTTCATGTTTTTGTACTACGAATACAGTACACATTTTTCTTATATTTTATCAAATTTTGAACATTTTTGTTTCGGGCAGGTAACTTTTCGTGTCGGGCAGGTAAAGAAAAAAAATCTTGTCGAACTCTGCAATAGTCTCATTGCAGGTCCTGCGATGAAGGAGGCAAATTAAATCGATGTATTATCTAGAGACTAAATCACTAAAGCATGAGCAGGGTTTCCCACTGTGTAGTATAGGCTTGGAGGATTGCCAGTCCCTACTTGCTCCCCTGCCAGGCTAAGTGTTGTTTGTTTTTTAGCAGCAGGAATCGTGACATAATTCGTGGCTACGATGTAGCAACTTATCACTCCACTACCAAGAGCTGTCACATTAGATGGTACGGGTGCACCAAAAAATCGTTTTACATTACAATCGTGATTCTCATTTACAAAGATTCAGAATCGATTTAAAATGTCCCAAAATCGATTTTTATAAAAAATAAATAAATAAAGCAAATCCAGTGGCCTTCAGCCTCCATTTTGTAACTACATGGGACATCCTGATGTCATCACGCAGCTGCTTCTGGAACATGAATGTGCAGAAAGCACCAAAACAAAGAGGAAACTACAGAACTGGAGGAAAGAGAGATTCAGCTGACCCCTGTCTTCATTGACTGCAAAGATTTGGGCTCATTTTGGTTTTTTTACTGAATGAGTCTGGGTTTGACTTGAGCTTCACTTTGTGCAAGGTTTGCRAAATGAAGATGAAGCACTTTGGAAACACGACAAATGGGCTCACGTTATCAGTTTTGAATGAAAAATCGATTTTGAATCGAACCGTGGCCCCAAAAGTCAGAATAGAATCAAATCGTGAGAGAGTAAGATTCACACCCCAGCTGCCATAAAATCTAATCTGAAATAATTTAATGATGTGTAGCAGCACTACTGCTCCTCTCTGACCCACCCGCCCACCTCCCTTCCTGTTCATTTTTGCCGAATCGCTTCTTCTATGTTTTTCATATTGCAATATATATCACAGGGTTAGGAAAAAAATCACAGCGTCAAGATTTTTCCAACGTTGTGCAACCCCACTGGACTTCGAACAGAATCCTGCAAGTTGAAACCAGAATGGGACCACCCCTCSTATTAGCTGATTCCAGTACAAGTTGAAAGTCCCACCCAAAAATGTAAAACAAAAACAGGCTTAAGCCCCGGCCAGGCCTCATAAGTTCAAACACTGTTTTTGGGTTAAGGTTTAAGACAAAGGTGTGGACTGASGGGAGGTTAGGTTGGGGGTTAGGTATGTAGTGGAGTTTGCTAGGTTCAGGAGTAGGCTACAGAAATGACTGGAAATCAATACACGGATATGGAACAATTATAAAATATAAATTTGTATCATCAGTAATATTCTCTGATAAACAAACTTAGACTTCTATTTTTTGTCTTTTCTTGTTGTTAGTAGTGCTGGCTCCTCCACCAGCAGCACAATGGCCAGTCCAGAGGACGTGATCGAGCCCGAGGCTCTGACCTCAGCTGCACAAAACCTGGGCCAGAGGCGCTTCTCTCGGGACGTTCACAATCTGAGTCCAGATGAGTTGGATGGGCTCATGTCAACCAGCGGTAAGGACAAATGACATAAAAGGCTCAGCATTAAGACATGTACACCGCACTGACATAGCAATGTAAATGTCTCATAATTATTTTCTTTCAAGATTAAAATTAAAATCCTTTCAGTGAGCCATGAGATATGTTGCTAACAGATATGGAGTTGAATCCAAATAGTAATAGCAACATTTTAAACAAAGCTCTTTGGTAATTTGTTAGTGTCAGATTATGTTGTGACTCAGTTCCAGCTTCTTTCATACTTAATTTTATTTCAGTATCTACTGACTGTGTTAGAGCCATTTTTAAGTCCACTAATATTGATCAGCTGTGGCAGCCATGCTGATTTGTGTTGACCAGGTTAATCTGTGGTTATTTTCTGCAAGACTCATTGCAGTTTGTCCAGTGATTGGTGAAGTATTTTGCTAACAGACAACCAAAATCATAATGGTCTGCCTTTACTGTCGAGTGACAACTCAACCTGTTGGCTGTAAATCGAGAAACATTCTGCATCTGCATCAGAATGAAATTAATAAAAGGTTTGTTTTTCAGAGGGCTATCCATTCCTCGTGGTTCATCGCCTCCCTGAAATTAAAGAAGAAGGTGTACCTTACTTAATTCCTGGTACTCCTATTACATGCAAGGTGGACAACATGGAGAAATATACCACTCGCTCAAAGGTACATGTATTTATTTATTTATTGGGGGGTTAAAATGATTTTACAGTTATGCATTGCACCAGTTTTAGCCTTAGGCTAATTTACATTACATCAGCCACTATTTGAAACGTGCAAAAATTTTCTTTATGTTTATCAAATAAATCCCTTTTTGATTCTTGTAGCAGTCAAACGTTAATGTTTTTACTCTGTTTTATATCACATTGATTACAGTTTTCCCTTATAAACACTTACCACATAGTTATACAGCTGGATATTTCTGCATTTTTAAAGGAATTATTTAGATCAATTTGTCTTATAAACAAAATAAATTAAAGGTCACGTTTTAAGCAGGTGCTTTAGATCAAAATCACCTAATATTAAGAAATGTCTTAGTTAAAGCTGTTTTGGTCAAAGCTTTAAAAACAAACAAAAAAAGTTATGTGCAAAATCTGTTGGTGCCTAGGGGAGGGGTGGACAATCCTGACCCTGCAGGGCTGATATCCTGMTTGTTTTAGAGGTTTCTTCTTCAACACACTTGATTTAAATAAATAGGTGATTATAAAGTTTCTTCAGAATTCAAAGACGTAATTAAGTCACTGAATTAGATGYGTTGAGGCAAAGAAACAAGTAAAACATGCAGGATCACGACCCTCCAGGACCAGGATTGGATAATGCGCTGTGATTGAATGTCTACTAYGACACCAAGGTTTAATTCAACGTCTGTAAAATTCAGTGATTTATCATTTATGTGTGGGCTACAGTGGATCAGAGGTGGCCATCTAGTTTTAGATGCACCTTTAGGTTATTAAACAACAACATCTGAATAAAAACTTTCAGGTTCGGGTAGGAACCCTGTACACGGTGCGTCTAACACACGGAAACTTCCACTGGGTAGTGAAGAGGAAGTACAAACACTTCCAGGAGCTGCACCGGGACCTTTACAAGCACAGGCTGATGTGTCACCTGCTGCCTATTGGAAGGTCTGAGTTTGTCTGTTCATCTCAGTCATGCAAATCAGCCTCTGGCTCTGAAATCTGAGCTGCTTCGTGCTTTTTAATGTCAGATCTCTCGAGCACTGATTACTTTAAATATTCAAATGAAGGTTTGCAAAGGAGAGGCAGCAGCTGGGGAACATGTCGGAGGAAATGCCCAGCCTGCAGGGCACGGAGCGGACCCGAAGTACATCCAGCAAAGGGGTATTAAGATTCAAGATGCTATAAGAAGTTTAATTTTTTTAATAATACTTGAAGATTAATGTTCTTAAGAAGCAGAGCTGTTTAGAACAAACATTTACTTTTTTTAAATGCAGTATAGTTTACGTGTTCGTCTTCATCTTCTATTAAATATTTATTCTAACCCCAATTGAAAGAGAAACATAAATATCCAGAAAACATTTTTTTGCAAAAGTAATTTTCTTTATAATTATGTTGTGCTTACATAATTGTTTTAATGCAGAAATTCCTTGAGGAGTACCTGAATGGTCTGCTGGAGAACACATTTTGCCGAAATGATCACAGCATGGTAAACGCTTACTATATTTGAGTTTTATTAAATATATTTGATAAATTTTATATTCATGCGGCAATTATTTATTCTTTTTTTCAGCTGGAATTCCTCTCCATCGGTCCTCTCTCTTTTGTCACAGATCTGGGGCCTAAAGGCTTGTAAGCAACACGCCATATTTCACATAAAGTAAATAAAAGTACTCAAGGTTATTTAGTACTGGAGTAATAAGGAATGGAATAGTTATAAACAATGAATATCTTACCTGCTGTAGATGGGTTCTGAATGACTTCACCTTTGAGGAATAATTAAAGTCTGATTCTAAACTAGCTGAAACATAATTCACTATGAAATCTTGGAGAGTGAAGTTGTTTTAATTGGCAGCAATCCTCTTTGGTCTCAGGTCTGCTCAGACATAAAAACAGAGAGGAGACCGTAGAAATGACTCAGGCTGAAACTGAAGATGAGGGGAACCACAGAGCTGCTTCCTGGAAGGAGAACCTCAGCTTTAGCTTTTAGCTTTCACATTAGCTCCAGAGCTAATAATAATAGCTCAGGAGCTAATTTACTAAACATCACAACTGATCGTTTCAGCCCATATATTGTGCAGAACTTAGAAACTAATACAAAATATAAGTTTATTGTCASATATTATAGCTTTTTGGCCTTGATTCTTTGTTTTTTAGTCTCACTTGTAACCCCTCATCATATTCATAAAATGCACTGCATCAGTAACAAGATGGCRACGGGCTTAAGTGAAAAATGTAATAAACATACAGTTTTTTTAAGTAACTGATGTGTTCATATGTCACAATTAACTTTTAGTAGAATAGCGAAATAACATGTTATGCACAATATGTGCAAACAATCGAGATCCTTTTAAAAGTTACAAAAATATGTTTATAAAACCTGACTCACAGTTTAACGTTGTAATGAAGCCTGGTGCAAAATTCATGGAAAAAAACTGTAGTTGTGTTTGAAAACAGCAGTAAGCATCAAACATAGTTTCAACATTATGAATCCTAAGAAACGATGGACCTATTTCTCTGGAATATTAGTTGAGTCACCTGATTGGTGTGAAGCACAGCTTCAGTGTTTGTTCCTGTTTACAGCAGTGATGCTGCAGTTCTCCTTTTGAACAGTAGGTGTTGCTGATGAGAAACTAATAGTGTTCAACAGAATGAAGAGAAATTAATAGAAAAATTGGACTGTAGTGGACTGAATAATGCTAAAGTGTTGCTGAGTTTGATTAACAACCATGTTGTGATTAGTTCACAATGTTCCAGTTATATCTGTTTGCAGACTTCAATTCAGTGGATTTAATTTTATTAATACAAGGTGTAATACATTTATTTAATCCAAAAAGTGCATCAGCACACTGCTACTCTACCAGTCTAATCTGTTTACAACTAATAAAATATTTGGCTATAACCTACACCTTCAAACTTTGCTTAAAATTGTCCAAACCAGAAGTCTTATTTAAATGTAATATGGCTCTGTCTCAGGGAGGGACCAATCATGAAAAGGTCTGGCGGTCACCGGATCCAAGGTCTGAACTGCATCGGCCACGACCGCTTCTGTTTCCGCTGGTCGCACCGCTGGCTGGTGGTGAAGGACTCCTTTCTCATGTACATGAGCCGAGACAATGCTGTGATCAACTTCGTGCTGCTGTTTGACCCAGATTTTAAGGTGAAAGTGGGTCGTGCTGACACCGGCACCAAATATGGAGTCTGCATTGAGAACTTCACACGGTAAATCCTCTTTGAGTTTTGAGCGTGAGCCCTGTTTTTTTTATCACCTTTTTGTGACACATCGCTGTTTGGTTTTGATCAGGAGTTTGATAATAAAGTGCAGCAGCTACAGACAGAGCCACTGGTGGAGCCACGAGATCAACCGGCTGGCAGAATCATGTGACTTCCTCAAAGTTCAGCGCTTCGGTGGATTTGCTCCTCCACGGGAGAACACGCTCACTAAATGGTCAGTTTTATAATCTGCTGCTTTTAATAACAACTAGAACAACCAACTCAATTAACTGTTTTTTTTTTTTTTCATTTAAGGTATGTGAATGGAAGTGGCTACTTTGCAGACCTAGCTGATGCTCTTGAGAAAGCAAAGGAGGAGATTTTTATCACTGATTGGTGGTGAGAACCTAAAGAATTTGGATTTATATATTTGCAGCATACAGATGTTTATACTGTATATGTTCAACAGCAACTTTGTTTTGTTACTCGTGAAGTGTGTTCGTGTAATTATTGTTCTAGAATTCCTTGAAGACACTGTGTGAGATCTCATGCTACAAAATCCCTCCATCCATTATCTACCCTTTTTTCCCCAACCTTTTTTCGACTATAATTGTAAAGATATATTTAATGTTTATTGTTTTTCAGGCTCAGTCCTGAAGTTTTCCTAAAGAGGCCAGCAACTGATAACCACTGGAGGCTGGATGAGATCCTTAAACGAAAAGCAGTATGGATTCCTTCTGTTCTGATAGTGTTGAAATGATTTTTTTAACCATAACGTGAGCTTTCCTCCCACTGTCTGCTGTTTACCTTCTGTCTGCAGGAACAAGGCGTCAAAATATGTATCCTGCTGTACAAAGAGGTGGAACTGGCACTCGGCATCAGCAGTGACTACAGTAAGAGGACTCTGATGAACATGCACCCGAACATCAAGGTCCGTGCGCTCTTTGCAGACTTTCACTTTCAAAGACCGGACCGATCTYGTTTTACTCCTGATTATTTCACTTTTCTGATCCATCAGGTGATGCGACATCCTGACCACGTGTCGTCTGTGGTGTTTTTTTGGGCTCATCATGAAAAGATGGTGGCCATCGACCAAACCGTAGCCTTTGTCGGGGGTATAGATTTGGCGTTTGGGAGGTGGGACGACAGTCGGTACCGGCTGACTGACCTGGGCTCTACAGAAGAGTCGAACGGTGCGACTGAGGAGCAGCCGAGTGATGTGGTGGTAGGGAAATGTTCTGCAGCTCATAAAGCTTGCTGCTCTTAGACTCAAAACTTAAAGGCCATCTCTGTTACCCAGGATAACGGCACAGCTGATGTTCCAAAGCCGGTCATTCAACCAGAACAAGGTCCAGATAGTCTGGCTGGAAACACCAAACTGTGGCTCGGCAAAGATTACAGCAACTTCATCACAAGAGACTGGGTCCAACTGGACCGGCCGTTTGAAGGTTTATTATCTGAACTCCCGTCAGTTTAAACATGACGTTTGAAYGCTGGGATGAAAGGATTTCTGTTTTCTTTTCAGATAACATCGACCGCACCAAAGTGCCTCGCATGCCGTGGCGTGACCTGTCTGCAGCTGTTCACGGCAAAGCTGCCAGAGATGTGGCCCGACACTTCATCCAGCGCTGGACCTTCACTAAGGTGACTTACAAAGACTTATTATGGAAGTTATATGCTCTAATATAGATTTAATTGGTTTCAGAAGCTGCACAGGCCTTATTTGCTGAATAATWWAAAAAAACWGTGAATTCACTGCTCTCATTTTCTTTAGATYTTCAAAGTCAAGTACAGAGATGACTTCTACCCTTACCTTCTACCCAAGTCTCACTCCACTGCTGACTCACTGCCATTCACCGTGCCCGGCTCCAGCAAAGCCAAAGTTCAGGTAAAATTTTATGCACACTTGGTTTTGATCAGAGTTTGAATCAGGAAATCTTGTGATGTTTTGGAAACGCAAAGCAGAGCCAGTTGAATTTAACACCGGCGCCGCTACTGAGTCAGAGCAGAAGTTTCATGCAGGGAAGCAGATTGTACAAAGATTGTAGACACGTGTCGGTGAGCAGCAACAAGGATTTGACAGTTGCTTTTGGCAGGTTTTGACTTGTTTTTAACTGAWATGTTTTACTTTAATTCATTGTGTATCTGGAGGGAAAAAAAAGCGTGATCGGTATGAAGATTTTTCTCAGAAATCTGTATTATAYAAATGCATAATTTGCACAGACAGTGGTTTCCTTTTAAATATCTTGGATTATACTCATTGATTGTTGCTATTTTGCTCCACAATTGTTATGCAAATCCTGTGTTTCAAAAACTCATGGTGCATCACATTTTGCTCCAATTAATTTTCTTCATTTAGGCAGATAATATGCTGAAAGGAATCTCAAACTACTGTCACAAGTTACCCTTATTATGTTGTTGTTTCTCTATTTTAGTAAAAGTTGTTTGCGACACCTGAAAACTTCTAATTACTTAAAAAATGTATTTATGCAACATTTTTCACTTATGCACATCGTTTTGTTACTGACATAATACATTCTGGGTATGATGATGATTGATGATAGCTGCCACTTGAGATTGAAACAAAAAAGAGTAAGTTTCAAAAGCTTCCCACGTAGTGCATTGTGTGGGCCAGAACTGGGCCACACTCAGCCCACATACCACTAAAAATGTCAGCCCTTTGGTGGTCCAGAAGTGGTTTTGCCAGAGGTGGTTTATGCATGGGCCAGCACACATAATCAAAACACAAACTGGGCCAGTTGTGGCACGCCATCTTAAAAACATTGCCATCATTGCCAGACCTGGCCCACATCCGTTTGATATTTGGGTATAACGTGTGACAAAGTTATATTTTGTAATAGTTTCTTTGTTCTGCACAGTATATGGGTTGAAACAATCAAACAGGAAGTTTAGTAAGTTAGCTCTGGAATTTTATAAATAAGCTCGGGAGTTAACTATTATTAATATGGCGTTATCTCCAGAGCTAAGATTATTAGCTCAGGAGCTAAAGCCAAAGCTAACAGGCTAAGCTGAAGCAGCTCTGTTGTCCTCCCATTTTCAGTTTCAGGCTGAATCATTTCTACCTTCTCCTCTCTGTCAACGCTCTGTTTTCATTTAAAAGGGCTGATTGTCAGACTTCCTAAAATAACGTTCAAACTGAGCTGAACTCACACAGGAGCACCAACTCGGAAAGCTTTGCATCGTAAATAACATGGCGACATCGAACCGACAACATATTTTTTAACTTATAAAAACTAAAAAGCCTACAGTATTTTTAAAGTCTTGTTTTTATAGTTKAAGTAAATATTTATCAAATGTCTGTCAGAATTCTCCTTAACTAGACCGAACATTTCATCAAGCATTTTAAAAGGTTGATAATTAAATACACAGATGCAGTTTGTTGCATGAGCTTTTAGCATTAACACATTATAAAATCATTTGAGTCCAGAGATGACGTGAGGACACAGCACCAGGCTAAGATTCTGTCATATCACAATGTAGGATGATTTAGGATCTTTCTGTTGACAAAACTATTGAAACAAACGTCCCTCCTGACTTGGGCAGCAGGTCCGATCTAACAGCAAATCAGATGGTTCTCCTCACAACAAAGAGGTTCTGTTCTTGCAGCAGCAGATGGTGGAACAAAAAAGAAAAGCGCGTGGAACAAAAATTGACTCTGTCCTCTTCGGCAGAGCCAGAGGAAACACTGGTGAGGACAGAGAGTACGAGTGAAAAGCATTTTTCAACAGGCTTCATGGGATCTGTGGCAAAACTTGCTGAGCCACTTCTAATTTAGTGTTAAAATAGAGCTAGAGCTCAGTCCACAGTGTGGCTGTGGGAGGATAGAAGCAAGCTGAGTGACAGAAATCCGACTTCTTCAAGCAGTAGTTCAGTTTATTTTTTAAATGATCGTCTGTGGAAAAGATTATGAACAATTAATATCTTACCTGTTGCAAATAGATCTTTAAACAACCTCAGTTTGGAGAAACAAAGTCCAAGTAGAGCTAATATAAGACTAAACGGATTGCTGCCGTTTCAAAACAACTCCAGTCTGAAAAATTTAATAGCAGTTCCTAAAAACTTCTGGCAGAAAACACATTTAATACTGTCTGTTAACAGACATGTAAACCTTGCTGAGGTTTGCTGAAGGGTGTGGCATRTTTTGATATCTCACCACAACACTATCTGTTGGATGTAAACAAATTCTGTGGGTGTGACAAAACCTAAACCTGACAGGGAGTCGCCCATTTTGGTTTGAATTTATCATTTCAATGCCATCTTTGTTCAAGTCCTTTTGAACAAACTCCTCTTATAAAATTAAAAAAATGTCTGCTTCAAACTAGATGAATGTACCATTACCAGTAGTTCTCAATTCCAGTCATTGTGACCCACTCTCCTGCATGTTTTAGAATAGAATAGCTTTATTGTTGCTGATAAAATTAATGTTCAAAGACAGTGTTAAAACAGTGAAATGCAGTTTAGCATCCTCTCACAGGCAGCAGTTTTAAAAAGTATAACAAATAAATGAAATAAAATAAAATCTATACATGTGCAATAAAATCTATATATGATGGCTGAAGGGTTGATGGCTTTCACAGCTTGGGGAAAGAAGCTGTGATTCAACCTGTTAGTCTTTGCTTTCAGTTGTCTRAATCTTTTTTTAGAGGGGAGGGGGTAAAACAGAGTGGGTCCAGGATGGGTAATGTCCATGGAAATGCTGGTAGCCTTTTTCTGGAGTCGGCAGTTGTAGATGTCCCTGAGGTAGGGAAGCGAAGTTCCTATGATTTTTTTTTTGCGCCGCTCTCACCACTCGCTGCAGGTCCCTCCTGTCCTGTACTGTGCAACTAGTAAACCAGACTGTGCAGTAGGAAGGATGCTCTCGATGGTGTTGAGGGAGGTGGGAGAGCTTCAGCCTCCTGAGGAAGTAGAGTCTTCGTTTTGCCTTCTGCACTAGGTAATGGTTGTTGAAGGCCCATGCGAGGTCAACAGAGATGTGTACTCCAAGAAGTTTAAGGTGCTCCACTCTCTCAACCCCACTCCATTGATGAGGAGGGCCATGGTCTCGGTACGGGTGATCTTCTGAAATCCACGACCATCTTTTTGGTTTTCTTTGTGCTCAATTCCAGATTATTGTTCTTACGCCATACTGCCAAGTGCCAGACCTCCTCCCTGTAGGCTGATTTGTTGTTGTTCATAATCAGTCCTACAATGGTGGTGTCATCAGCGAACTTGATGATGTTATTGGAGGTGTGAATGGGGGAGCAGTCATATGTGAAGAGTGAGTAGAGGAGGGGGCTGAGGACACATCCCTGTGGGGTGCCTGTGTTCAAGATGAGTTGAGGATATGCGGTCTCCCATCCTGACGTATTGGGGTCTGTTGCTCAGGAAGTCCAATATCCATAAACATATTAGTGACCTGCCTAGGCCCAGATTGCCCAGTTTTTTGATCAGGTTTTGTGGTATAACTGTATTAAAAGCTGAACTAAAGTCCACAAACAACATCCTTACATATGAATTTTTCTGTTCTACATGGGTGAGGGCTGAGTGGAGAGCTGTTTTAGTTGTTTCCCTGCATTTCTGCAGGTCTAAAAGTTCTGCAAAAGCCTGTCAATCACCCATTCATTTAAATCAGGTGTGCCAAAGTAAGGAAACAACTAAAACATGCAGGACAGTGGGTCACGAAGACTGGAATTGAGAACCTCTGTGTTAAGCAGTGGTGGACACTTCTAACCAAACCATTAGCTTTGTTAACTCCTAATCCACTAACTAAAAACATAGCTTTGCTAACACTCAACTATTCACTGTGTACAACAATTAGTGAAGCTAATGCTAAACACATAAACAAGTGCAATTTAGCAGAAGCCAACACTATCAGCAGATTATTAATTATTAAGATGACTGTCTTTCAGTCGGTGTCACATGTCTTCGTCTTCTTGGAGCTGAAGACTCGTGAGACTGACACAAACTTGTTGATGTTAGCTTGTTACTAGTGTTAGTAAATTAGTATTCAAGACCACCTAACCCAAGACCAAGTCAAGACCAGGACCACAGTGTACCAAGACCAATACTTGGTCTTGACACCAGTCTCATTCAGCCAAAGCTAACGGGTCCCCTAATGGTTTTCAAAGTTAGTTAGGTAGCGTTTTAATCTTCTCCAACAAGTGCTGGGCAGAGATGTCACAGCAGCTTTTGTTGTTGTTGTGTTTTCTCTTTTAAAATAGAAGGCCTGTAACTGTAACCTTTGTTCCCTGTCGTGTAGTTTTAGGTATCAGGGTGGCTTTATTCAGGTTTCAGGGCCAACGGTTCTCTTGTTACAATCTGTGTTAGTCGGAGCAGGCGTGCCCTATTTGGTGTCCTTTATAAGGATTCTTGTTGCTTGTGTAAAAATAAGATCTGTTTGGAATTATTTTAATATAATTTTGAAAAAACAAAACATCCTGCTTTCTTCTGATTCTAGTTCTTATATTTGGAGAAAACGCACAATGTGAGGAGAACAAAATAACGTGCATCCAGTGACAGAAAATTAGTTTAACTTGTCGTTTCCTCAGGTGTTGCGCTCTGTTCATTCCTGGTCCGCTGGAACATTTGAGAGGTCGATTCAGAACGCCTACATAGAGACCATCAAGAACAGCAAGCACTACATCTACATCGAGGTAACCCAGGATCAGTTGCTTCATCATGAAGAATAATTTTACATATTCACATTCCTGAAAAATCTGGGGCCTAATGTGAAGATTCCACGAATGCTGGCCAGCTTCCTGTCAGCTCTGGTGTTCATCTCCCGCTGAGCCACCATCTGCCTCCTCTCTGCCCTTAGAACCAGTTCTTCATCAGCTGTGCGAAGGAGAAGGTCGTTGAAAACGGGATCGGCGATGCGATTGTGGAGCGAATCCTGCGCGCTCACAGGTGGGATCAGTTTGTGTTACACCTCCAGTCATATTCAGTTTAAAATGTAATCTCTAAAAGCTGCTGAAATGCCACACATGAACGTAATGAGCGTTGTGTGTCACTGCAGAGAGCACAAGAAGTTCAGGGTGTTTGTGGTGATTCCTCTACTTCCTGGTTTTGAGGGAGACATTAGGACAGGAGGTGGAAATGCCATCCAGGCTATTCTACATTACACTTACAGGTAAACTCTCACAACCACAAGAAAATGTCTTTATCTGGTGCTCAGGTGTGTTTTTAAAATAACTGTTATGCTTAGATTTTTAACAGCTGGTTTCTCTGTTCTTTTTATGTAAATTTGCCTAACTTTGGTCATTTTTAATGTACAAGGACAATTTGCCGTGGAGAGGACTCCATCCTGTCCAAACTTAGTGAGGGTGAGTTTTATTTCCTGATATCAAACCCAACACTAATCTAAACTCTGTTTTTATTAATTCTTTAGGGTACCTTGTTACCGAACCACTCCCAAGTTTAGTCACAATTTACATGAATTCCTTTTTAAAGTTTCTTAAAAGTTTAGTTTTATCAGCTGTAAGTCATATAATTCTGCTCGCCTCCGCAGTAAAGGACCAGTGGACGGAGTACATCACTTTCTGTGGTCTCAGAACTCACTCCAAGCTCTCCGGGTCGCTTGTCACTGAGCTGATCTATGTTCACAGCAAGACCCTGATAGCTGATGACCGCTGCTACATCATTGGTGAGACTCTGATCCTTTTTTGTATCTAAATTTGACTCCTCTTAGTATTTGTCAGCTGACATTTTTAAAGTGTTCACTTAGTTCATGAATCAACTGTTTTGTTTGTGCTTGTGGACCTAAGAATTAAATATACAGGACCTAACCCAGGAAATGTTAAAGGTTTGTACTCTACTGGTGTTTCAGGGTCAGCAAACATCAATGACCGCAGCATGCTGGGTGAACGGGACAGCGAGCTCGCTGTGTTGGTGGAGGATGAGGAGAGGGTCCCGTCCATCATGGGAGGAGAGGAGTACGAAGCAGGACCCCTCACTCTCGCGCTACGCAAAGAGTGCTTCAGGTCAGGGCTAATCCTGGCATCTCTGCTGTGACTTTCTGGGACTAAGCTTAAACAACTTGATCCAGTGTGGAGGTGTGGGGGAGCGCCTAGTGATTGAATATTTCTTTCTGGTGTTTCTCTGGGCAAAGTTCAGAAACTGGACAGGGAGCCACCTCTTTGAGTTCACCTTCTTCAGGGAGAGCAGGCAAGGGCATTGRCCTGTTGGTTTCTGACCTTTTAAACTGGCTTTAGAAATCTGGATGTTAAACCTCACCTCAGCTGCAGGAAAGGACTCGGACCTCGTGTGTGAGGTTGAGCCAAATTAATCACAGCTTGTGTTCTTGGCTAATTTATAATAAGCTGTTCATAACGAACACCATGCTTAAGAATGAACGAGTGATTTTTGAACGAATGAATTTATTTGGGACAGTGTGCTATTAAAACAAACATAAAAACATTTGATGCATTGCACCAGATTTAGCCTAAGGCTAATTTACATCTGTAGTCCCTCCAGACAGTAAAAACAAAACAACATCCAACAGTAATAGATATCAGAAAAGAAAAAAAAACAGAAAAATAATATAAAATAAAATAAAACATTTTGCAATTAATAATAAAAATACTTAAACACCCCATAAAATAAGTGTACCTGGTACCAAAAATAGATGAGTCCCAATCCTTAAAAAGCAGGACTAATGTATGTTCCAACTACATATCAACATAAAGCCTGTATTTTTCTGTTTTTCTTTTTGAACAGTGTTCTTGTCGGAGCAGCCTCTGACCCCAGCATCACTATAGACGATCCGATCAGTGATGAGTTTTTCTTTCTGGTTTGGAACGAAACTGCTAAACTAAACGCCATCATTTACGACAAGGTATAAATTCCATCAAACTTAACTTTTTTTAATCATCAAAGGTAAATTTCTCACGTTTTTTTTCCCCCTTCCTCTGCTGTGCGGCTTCTATCACAGGTCTTTTACTGTCTTCCCTGCGATGCCGTTTCCAACCATCGGAAGCTGAAGGAGTACACCAGCCAGACGCCGCTCTGTGACACCGACCCGGAGCAGGCAGAGGCGGAGCTTAAGGCCGTTCGAGGGTTCCTGGTCCACTTTCCCCTGAAGTTCCTGGGTGAGGAAAACCTGCTGCCTCCGTCGACCTCTAAAGAAGGCATGGCTCCCTCAACTCTCTGGACATAATTTCTGACCTTCACAGATTAAACCACTACCTGACAGCCTAACCTGGAACACTACAGGAGTTACAGACCAAGCATTTAGAACCCCACTGATTAATTAACCTGTATCTGGTCATCCAGTCAACCAGCAGGCCTCACCTGATCTGGGAACATGCTGTCCATTTACTGGTGCAGGAGTTTTGGTTTGGTGGGTGGGTGGCTCTGWCTCTTCCTCTCCCACTGAGGCTTCACCTCTCACTGCGGCGCCACAAAAACCTGTCAGAACATTTGTGGTTGTTATGGTGACGGTTCTGAAGAGATGGTAGCTGAAATAAAAGACTCGACGGGGCAGAGAAGAAGAGCACTTCGTACAAGTGCTGACTAAACCCGGATGGTTTCACCAGAATATAAAAAAACGGATTCGACGACAGAGAGTGTTTCGTGTTTTTACTAAATATGAGCCAGAAAACAAACAAAGGGACGAGATAATCGAAGGTTGACTTACTGGTCACCTCATGTTAGAGTCACAGGCCTGAGGCAGCTGTGGAGGTGCAGCTGAGAGCTGATATCATGTGTCTGACACAGTTCTCATTGACTGCTGAGACCGCCAGCCTCAGCCAGCAGCAGCTCACATTTTAAGAGCACTTTTTTTTATTGTATAATWAGTTACCTAACTGATCGATGTGTAAATGTGTAGCAGCAGGTTTTTTTCTTTTAAAACTATTTATCGATGTAGAGCATTGTGTAATCGAGAGATTCAGGTTTCCTGGGTAAGCTGCGATTGTACAAACATACAAAATGATTCCTATCTAAAAATGTCTTGTTTGGTGCAGACTAGTGTCCCGGTATCAGTGTTTCTTAAACTTAAGTTTGGGTATTTGCCAATACCAAGTACTTCACACAATGACTTTAAAAACACATTTCTTTTATTGGGATCAAATCAAATACAGCATGCTGCTGAATCATTTTAAAATACAGAAAAATGACACAAGATTTTCTTTCAGTGGCACAGTTGGTAGAGCTGTTGCCTCTCAGCAAGAAGGTTTCTGGATTTTATTCCCGACTGGGCCGTCTCTGGATAGAGTTCGCATGTTCTCTCTGTGCGTGTGTGTGCGTGTGTGTGTGTGTGTGTGTGTGTGTGTGTGCGCGTGTGTGCTTTTTCTGGGTTTCCTCCCACAGATCAAAAACATGGATGCTAGGTTAATTGGCAAATCTAAATTTTTCCTGGGTGTGAGAAAGTGAATGGTTGTCTCTATGTGACCCTGTGATGGACTTGAGACCCTGATGGGTGGATTTTCTTCCAACTCGTTTACGTGGAACTGTTTTCACTTGAAATGTAAACTGTAACGTTCAATGGAGTATTTACACCTGTGTCAATTCTGGTATGGGTTTCTAGTCGGGGCATTTTGTAAGAGTACTTGTAAAAATGCTGGTATCTGATAACAGTACCTGGACAACACTAGCGCAGACCCTGGTCTAGAGTTTCTAACTGTCTCATGATCAAATCTATGAACTTTATTTTAGTACTTTTAATGTGATACCAGACAACCTGTAATTACACTAATGTGCACAACATTGTCAACAAGTCTAGCTTTTAAAAATACAGCATGAAGTGATCTCTGCAGGTCAACAGCACAACCTTGTTGTAAGAATCCTGACATGAACACACAGCACCTTCTCACAGAGAAACATCTGTGTTTGAATGCTGGTTTTCCACACAGCACTTACTGAACAGTTTTAGTTCAGCTCCTTTTATTGTTGTTTTTCTTTCAGCTGCTCCCTTCTGAAGGGGTCAAAGTCACTAAGTAGATTTGCTAAGTCCCACTTTAACTCTTAGTTATTGATGGGCAGAAATAAGTTTGAGACCTTACACTGTTTCATGAAGTGCATTTTCATTAGATTCTTCTTATTTTTTTATTGTAAAAATCTTATATAGATATATAGAGTATTATTTATCTGTTTGGTCCACTAACACTCCAGGGGAAAAAAAGTTTTCTAACTGTTTTACTTTAGTTTTTGCATCAGCACTATGTTTTCTTACTGCTTCCATTTTTGGTTTATACATCTAAACTTTACATTCACATTTGCCTTAATATGACTTAATGTATAATAATCTCTAAATATTTTAATGAATATAAAAAACCTGTCCAGTTTTTGTATAACAGCATATTTTATTTGTACTTTTAACATTTTAACTGACATGCCTTCAATAAAACAATCTGTTTAATGTAAAGACGTGTAACATTATTATTACGTGAAGAATTGTGTCCCACACATAAAGAGGATTAAAATACTTGAGACTGAAATGTTAGGTTAGATGTTTTGACGTTAAGCTTCTAATAAAAACATAAAATAAGAAAAAAGATGCATGCATATTTACAGGTTTTTGGTTATAATAATAATGATAAAAACTTTATTTACAAGCACCTTCCAATAATTACTTGCATCAACCAAAGTGCTTCACAAGGTAAAACAAATAAAAAACAGGTCACAACAAATCAGTGCAAATTAAAAACACAACTACAATAAAAGAAGGTAAATAAATATAAAATGCTAAAAGTTAAACATCAACTGCCATTTTTCATTTTCACACCAAACTATACTGTTGTTGGTTGTAGGAATTAGTCTTGGGTTATTCCTCCAGTATGTAGTCGCATGTCTAGSTGTCCCTGAGCAAAACACAGAACCCCCTCCTTCCCTCTGATGTGCCCCATCGATGTACAAATATAGAACACTTTGTTCAGATTAAAATGTGTAGCAGAGTGCCGTCTGAATGTGTGTGGATTGACAAATAAGACCACAGATGGTTGTAAAATGCTTTGAAAGGCTCTATACAAGTTCAGCCCATTTACCATTTAAACCTCGTGTGAATGGGTCAAAACCAGCAGACGGCTGTGAAGGTAAAGAGCTGAGTTTGTTTTCCCTCAGGTAATTTGTTCCTGGTAAAGTGCTGCATCGCTTCAGGAGCAGGAAACACCTGAGGAGTGTTTGTGTTGCAGCCAGTGGTCAGGACAAACCCACAGGATGACATCACTGCTAGTCTGAGGGATTGTACAGCAAGCTGTTGTAGCATATAATCAAACCACACCCTCAAAGCTCTGAATACAGTTTAAGATGTAAATTATACAGTATTAGTGCTATTCAGACCTGACATTAAACATACCTAAAATAACACACATATATATATATATATATATATATTACTGAGCACAAAATGTAAGGAAATTAGTGTTTCATAGATTTATTTTTGTTTTAACAATGCTTCTTGGCAATAAATCTTAAAGCGAGCACCTGATTGACAGCACCTGGAGTTACCAGAATCTCAATGCAAGTTTCAGTAATATCTGCAAAAAAAAATTAAATAAAAGTTTCGCAGAGAAGATTTGGCAATTTTTTTTTATGTGTGCAACCCATACTCAGCTCTACTGCTCGTTCCACAAATGCATGTTCCTTACAGATGTGGCACCATTTAAAAGGGAAATTTAGCAGACATCAACATAAAAGATGCATTAAAAGCACTAAACACTCAAAATACCGGTACTTCACATTAGTTTTTGCAAGTCATGTTTGCAAGTTCAACAGATTTGTGTTGATTATATATATATA